CCCCCCCCCCCCCCGTGTAATATTTTAATCGTTTTCCATCAAGGCATGACAGGCTAGAGAGGCAAGCAGTTAGGCCGGAAACAGGTGGGCAGGCCAACTTCTAGCTGGCCCTGGGAAGGGCCCCTGTTACAAGCAGGAAGAGGCATTCTTCCTAAGGGTTTTGATAGGCATCACCTCCTGATTTACTTTTGTTTTGCCTCAGTGGTTCCTTTGATCTTCCAGGAACAATTCCTCAAAAGCTTTGTTTTTCCTGATTGTTAATCAATTTCTTGATATGTTCCAACTCGGGTAGGAATTGATAAACCTCCTTTTACTGAGGAAGGTAATTCAAATCAAAATTGGGACTTTCTGAAAACCAGTAATTTTCCTGTTAATTACTGTTTGGTTTTCTCTTTTGATTTACACAACTGTAAGAGTGCTTAGAAGATACCAAACTAAAGGGCATAAAAGAATGAAGCAGCTAACAGTGCATGCTTCAAGACTTGAGAAATCATTCAAATAATAACTGCTACTGCACCCAGCTGATCTGGTGAACGGATCCACACCCTGAGAAGCTGACAAGACTGAGACAGCCTCTTTGCTTGCATTGATGAGACGCTATCACTTTTACAGTTAAGTACACTGGACTGCTTTGCTTTTGGCTCATTTAACAGTGAATTGTTGTAGTAAATAAAGCCTTTGTGGTCACTCATCTAAAGAGTTCTTGTGTCAACCCCTTTTTACATTAGTCCCAAATCCCATTTCATAATTTAACACCACCCATTTTAAAAAATAGCTTACTAGAGACTGACACTTGTAGCATATGCTAAAAGCTAGGATTGATTCCTTTTCTGCTTTGAATTCTAGCATCTATTCTCACCCACACATAACTACTGTTTTGGTTGGGTTCAGATGCTCCAAACACTCCTGTCTGCATTTTAATTAAGCAGGTTACTTCCTAATTTTCTCAGACGTGCAAAGCGGCCGCCTGGTCTTTCTTTTTACTAAATTCAGCAACTGTTTAACTGCACACCGTGACAGTATTTTTCCTTTCCCCCACAGGCAGCTGCATTCTCATGAAGAATCATCTGACTTTTATGTTTACATTTTATAAAGCGGTAAGATAGTTCACAAACACAGAATCTAAGAAAAAAGGTGCCATTTGTAGTACTGCATGCATTGTGCCTGTAAATGTTTTTTTTCTTCTTTAAACAAAAGCCCTGCTATATTACAAAAGATGATTTACTGTTCAATTTGTCTTTTCAGATATGAATATAGACAAAATACATTAAGTTCATTCCCTGAACTTGACACAGATTAAAAATAACCATTTTGTGTCTGCTCTTTTCTCCACCATTTAGTGGAAACTAAGCTCTGTAATTAAAAAATAATTTCATAAAGGAGTAAACTGTCTTGGCTGAGCAGCTCCTTGACCATAGAAAAAACAGCAGTTACTCCAGATCAGACTACATGCAAGTTTCCCACATTTTGAGTTCTCAAACAAACACTTTAGACAACTTGTCATAACTAAAAATAAACTTTGAATTAAACCAGAAAGCTAAACACCCTGGGTTTGCCCAAATGTACATGTAGTTACAACTTGCCTGATTACTGGGACTTCGCAGAAAAGTCTCAGACATCAGAACTGCAGCTACACCCTCAGCTGTCTTCATTTGTTATCCCACTTTCCCCATCACCTTCATTCAGGACTTGAACACAACTAATTTGAATTTCTTTGAGCACATTCCAACCAGGAGGCACCAGCACTGCAAGTTTAGCAGTGAAGTTCAGCACTTTGACTCTACATTCTGGTGCAGTAGAGAATCAGGTTCTAGCTTTGTTGCCTACTTTATTTGCACTAATAAAGTAACCTTGATTTTATGACAGGAAAGATTTTTTCCTTGCATTGATAGGGTGACACGCATCATAAGGCACTAAATACAACTCCAGCAAAAGTGAGATTTCTGGTCTTCACAAAAGGGGCTGTAATGCAACAGGCAGCTGTGGGAAGCTGTGTGGGCCTTTGCCATGGTAGAGGCATTGCAAGTGATAGTGGAGTAAGCAAGAGCTACATGGCCACAAACTATGCTCGCCACCCTGTTGCCAATGGTCTCATCTACTAGGGCCCCAGATTCTGCAGTAAGCTGCGCCCACTGCCAACCAACCCCGTCAACACTCTTATCCATTGGCAGCCTAGTAGGCCAGATGGAGTGCCAATGTGGGCCAGGTTTAGCCTGCACACCATGTTTTTCATCCAAGGGGGTAAACCTCACTTAACATCAGGGTGTTGGTCATTCACAGTGCATTTGGTCCAGATTACCTCTAGAGAAAGACCATGCCTGCAAGAGCATTAGTCACCCATTTGTTCAGATTCTGAGGGTATACTTTTGGAATTCAGTAAGACAACACAAGTTGTAAAGGTGAACACTACAAACATTAATTCAAAGCAGGGGTGTCAAATTTACCTTACATGCCAGGACAGATCCATCCAGGTGCACGCAGTGGCTCTAGCTCAAGCCCAGAACGACAGCAGGGCACATGGCAGAGAAGGTAGAACAAGCACACAGGTCCAGCAGCAGTGAAGCATCAAGCCGCCTGTCCTCTTGCCACTAAGGGCTATGCCAATCAGGACTCGGGGACAACAATTTTTGCAGGAAGCCTCACTCCCCAGCTTCTGGTAGTTTGCCAGGGGCTCGTGGGCTGGACAGAGCACTTGTGTGGGCTAGATATTTGACACCCCTGCTTTAACAATTCCTGCATTAAACCCCAATGAGCCCATACAATTGCTGCAAATTAAATTGGGCCCCATTTTCTTGTGAAATTCTCTCTTTTCATTCTGATCTAGACAAAACGTAGCTTTTCCAACTTTGGAGAATCCACAGCCCCCTGGGGGTTTCACAGACTTTATTTTCTGCATCACAATTGCTATTATATCATCAATAGCTTTCAATTTAACAACAAAAATAAATAAAACCCCCAAAAAAGAAACCCTGGCAGGCAGACTGAGGACACCAGAAAGGAACAAGGATTCCATGTTTTATTCACTGTCCGTCTTATGCTTGCTTGGTAATTCCAGCCTATAGGGAACCCCAAACTACACATCAAATGGTGTCTCCACTAGTCCAGTGTCCTGTCAGCTATACCCATTTCTGAAGTCTCCAGTGCTGCACATTACAAATTCAGGAGAAAAACAAGAACACACGATGTGCAAAGCCTCTCTCTTGACAAGCCATATGATGCTTTGCTTAGTTTGTCGTTTTAATCTTCTTGCTTGACACTGCCTGACAGTTCTCTGTATTTTCTCGTTTCTTCTTAGGTGGAACAGAGTTGTTGGCTTGGTTCTTGCCATCAAGCAGTTCCACCCCCTCTTTTAACAGACGACTTTCCCGTTTCTCTTTCCGGTCCTCCATCTCTACGATGTCACCAGCAAATAGAGCTTTCAGAGGCCAGATCAGTTTAGGAATAGTTGGAAAGTCACTAAAACGTATCTGAAATGTATCGAGTCACATATTAACATATCTATCTTGTGCATTTCACAGCAACAACATCTGTGCTCTAGAGTCATTTTCCTGCCTTGTCCTATCTGACCGCAGGCTCTTTGGGGTGTGCAGAATGAGACATAATGCCTAACAGACAGACACAATGAGAGCATCTACACATGCAGACATGTGCACTTGCAACAGCTCAAACAGGAGCAGCACAAATTTAAGCTGGGGATTTTTGCCTTAGTGCACGTGCCTGGGCATGTGCTTTGGTATGAGGCAAGTTGTGCCACTTGGAGCAAAATAACCCTGCCCAGCTCCTTCCGGATTTGTAGCCAGGGGGAGCTAGAGCCTGGGGCCAGCCCCTGTGCTGGCCCCAGCAGTATAAAAACCTACCCTGACAAGCAGCTCAGGAGCTTCTGGGGGTCCCTTCTGCAGGCAGAGGGAAACCCTGACACACATGAACCTCAAAGTTCTGAATGAATTTCACCCCCCACCTTTTTGTTTTTTGTCACCCCATCTTCAGCCCCACCAAGTCCCAGGATCTCCGGGGCAACCTCCTCCTGACTCTGGGCAAACGGGCTCTGTACTTGACCAGGAAGGAGGCTCTGGCTGGGAAGGTGCCTGGAGACTGTGAGGCTGCCATCTTCTCCCTAGTCTGTGCATGTTTCCAGGCCAGAAACCAGAGCGCCTGTGGTGGACCAGCTTCCCAGTTAGCTGCTGCCCTACTTTTCCCCCACTGGGGTATTTTTTGATACCTTAATCTCCAGGTATCAAGTTTTGAGCTCGCACTTCGAATATACAGCACTGGGAATACTTCTTCGTTCATAGCATGCCTCTTCCAGTGTCTCAAACTGGTCTGGGATGCTGCAAGAGGCACGTGCACACTCATCTGGATATGTCCAATGGGGCTAGGACCTCAGCTGGCAGCCTTTATTGTAATATAGTTGCTACTGTAATATAAACAATTTCAATCTCTGGTACTCTGGCTGGATGCGGAGGCAGCTGCCACTGCACCTTGAACCCTGCTGCAGCTCGCCACATGTGGGCACGGCTCAGTCCAGTGGCGGGATGCACATGGCATCCAGCTGCTCCCAGGTCAGCTGCAGCGGGGCTCAGGGGCAAAGCCCAGTCCACAATGGCAGTCACCTCTGCCACACAGATTGAGGGGGGCACGTACCCCACCAAACACAGAGCAACAGAGGCAGCTGCAGCAGCGAGGGAGACAATGGGGCTGGAATAGGGGCAAGCCCTGTAGCTGGGGCAGGGTGGGATGGAGCCACAAGCTGCTCATCGGGGGGTATGAGGACAGGGAGGCACATGCCCCCAGATCTGCATGCAGGGCAGGCTGCAGTTGCGGGCTGGGCTGTTCCCAGCGGGTAGGCTGGCCTGCACTGTGCTTGGGCAAGCAGCAGCAGTGGCGCTGGGAGGGGGGCTACAGGGGTGCTGCAGCCACCCAAAAATTCACTGTAGCTCCTCCAACCCCCACTGCCACCACCTGCCCCGGGAGTGCAGCACAAGCCAGCCTCTGTTGGGAACAGCCTGACGCAGCCTTCCCCTCCGTCTGCCCATTCCCCCTCCCCACAAAAGCACGGAGGCCATATGCCCAGGATCTGCATGGGGCAGGGTGGGCCAGCTATGCCAGGCTGGTCCACTTTGTGCTTAGGAAAGGTGGCAGCAGCGCTGGGAGTGGGGATTGGGAGCTACAGCAAATTGTCAGGTGGCTGCAGCCCCCCCCACATAGCTCTGCTCTCAGCACCACCACTGCCCAGCCTGAGCATAGCATGGACAAGCCTCCCTACTGGGAACAGCCCAGCCCCAGCCTGCAGCTGCAGCCTGCCCCACCCCATCCCATGTGTACGTGCCCCCACACTCCCATACCCTGCTGGGGTGCATGCCCCCCATCCCCGTGCCCCCTGGACGAGCTGCTCGCAGCTCCGTCCTGCCCTGCCCCGGCACTGCAGGACCTGCCCCTGCTCCAGCCCCACTCCCAACCTCACTGCTGTTGCGGGGGGGAAGGGAGCTGGGGCCTCAATCTGCCCTGCCTCCCCACCATGGCCCTTTCCCCTCCCCCCCACAGACTTTCCAGCTGGGGGGCATGCCCCCAAATAATTTTTTCTTCCTCTGCCTCAATCAGCGCCCCCTTCCCTCCCCACAGACCTACCTGCTGTGTGTCTCGGGGGGGCCGGGGGGGGGGGGGGGGGGGAGGGAAGCC